CGAACGTGCGGAAAATATTACTTATTGGTGAAATTAAATTAATTTGTTATGTTAATGATAATTTGGACGATTTTTAAGTTTTATTTTTAGATTGAATGATATAGGAAACTGGACTATCCGTCTGATATTATTTTAATTTTGATTAATATTAGGTACACCTAAGTAATTGGAGTTTATATTGTAAGTCAAATATGTATGGATCATAAAAACAAATATAAACAGAAAAATAAACTTAAGTTAAGTAATACAAATATTGGATTTTACTTAAAGTTACAAAGTTTAATTCAAATTGTATTTGTTGTACGTGACTGTAAATATGAATAACGTACAAACATTTTTTTGTATCCATTTTAAAATAAAATAAAAATATGTTCATTGTTCATATATTCCGAACTTTTTAAAAACAAATTTTATTTCGTAGAGTTTTGTTTAGTTAGGTCTATTAAGAAAAAAAGTCGAACAAAAGCGGAAATTTAATTATTGTTCGTGTTCCAATAAGGCTATCCCAGATTGGACTTCATCAATATGTGTGTGTACCAAAAAATACTTTTTCCTCTATTATTCAAAACATTGTTGTCCTTCTCATTGCTCCAAGCGAGTAAATATAGAATATTATAAAGTTAAATGGAAGAAAAAACATGTTGTTGTCTTTACATTACGCAATACTTGAACACAGTTACAATATAATATAAGCCCGACGTCAAAGCCTATAGCTCTTATCGAATTCGACCAATTCGACCAGGTCCACCCAAGCTAAATGTCGTGGTCGTGTACCACAATGACGGAGACGACCGACGTGCTTCGTCAGTGGGTCGTACTTACCACAGTCCAATTCGTCACTTTGATCCTTACAATCGTTAATACGATCGCAGCGGTAATCGCTGCTCACGCAACCGCCGTCATTGCATTGAAACTCGTTGGAAAAACACACTGTGGCGACTGCAGGAGGCGGTATGTCGGCTGTTGACGACGCCTGATTAGTGTTTGCAGACGATAACGATGGTCTGTCTACATGATAGTAGTACACAAAAAGCCACAGAACAAAAATACAACAATATATCACATAACTACTAGAATACAAGCAAAAAATAATAATAACGAAAAAAGCGCTGCCCTTTAATAATGTATATAGGTATATTATAATATAGTTATAAATTATAATATATATCGGTTGTAAGTTATAAAAATTATTACTGTATTTTATATATTTTGAAAATTAAATTTAGTTTATTGTTATCCATCATAGTTTATAATTTATATATATTATAGATTTTATAGCTGGTGTGCGCGCTTAATGACTGCGAAGAAAATAAAATTTAAAAAAAAACTGTCGTATTATTATTGTTAATATTATTACCATTTGTGCAATTCCGCTCGTCTTCTGCGTCCGGACAATCCGGACGAMCGTTGCAAGACTTCGATAAGGGTATGCAACTCGAGTCAGCACATGTGAAATCTGATTCAGCGCAAGGTGCGAGCATGGGGTCTATACATCAAGCGTGCCACAAGAAAAGCATTAGAATATTAAGAACGTGAACATTGAAAATAACATGTTAATTAATTGATARTGTATTAAATTGTATTAAATTAAATAACATGTTATTTATTGATATAACAATATTATTTTATAATATGTCAATAACTTGTGTTATAATAACATATAATATTCATCTGGATATATATTTCCTAGATGAAGTGATACACAGGMAGGACAAAATCTAATGAACTATTGTTACTGTTTTTTTTTTTTTATGAATTATRGCCTGCATCATGTAAGTACGGTGGCGATGGCCACATATTAATAATAATAATATTATAATACGTCTATAAGTTATGGTTTACTGTCACGTATATATTGTGTAAGCCGCGAGCCGTGTAAAAAATACCTAAAACAATAATGACAATAACCTAATTTGTTACTATACTATATAAACTATAAGGAATTAATGTGTTTGCGTAATAATTATCAAAATTACTATATAAATATCTTTGTGGGAAACAGAATAAGTATTTAATGATTGATTCAATGACGTTAGTTTATTCTTTTGATATTCAGATATTCAGAAATCATTATCATTAATCAGTAATTAAAAGAATAAGAAAACAAATATTAATTTTTGATTAATATACAAAATATATTTTTACATTCTGTGTAGCATGTATTTAAAAATATTATTGTATATTATTAGTTATTAATACCTTTACTCAAATTCATAAAGCCTGAAGTACACAATATGATGTAAGGAATTTAAAAATAATGTAAGGTAATATAGGTAAGATAATGGTTAAAAGTTCACTAGATTTTATCCTAAACACAGTTCATCACTTCAACCCATKTTAAATATTCACCTTATTAATAAGTATATTGGTTTTAGACGTTTTAGACATAAAAGACACTTAACACGTAAACAATAAACCAGTAACTTATTAGGTTACTAAAAAGTTAACCTAACCTTAGGTTATTTAAAAACCAAAACATTAATTTATACAAAACTGTTAAACTGTCATCAAATCTTAATTATGAAATACATTTTTTACTTTAATTATACCTATATCCTAAATAACGAAAACGAAGAATCTACTTTCTTTTCAATATTCGTGATAATTGTTTTCAAGTGTAGTATAATAATGTACCATTTTAGAACTAAATTTCTAAGGAGTTTTGTGTAGGCCATTATATCTACATTACTGGTAGACTTTCCAAACTAGAGAATGTCGGAGGGAACTTTCTATAATCAAATTTTTCAATAAAATATTGATTACAGTTTTAAAAATAAGCACTTTTTGTATTTCATGTATTCAAGTTTGCCTTTAATTTTTGTATTATCCAAAATATCTTTGGTCATGCTTCAGTAAAGTTTTCAACGATTTTGATCAAACTTAATTCCCATAGTTTTGTCTGGAAATTAGTAT